ATATGAACATATACTACAAACTCTTAAATAACATTTTTTTTCAAAAGAAAAAAAATATTCGAATTATTTCACTACTTAATTTGTACGCTTTGGAAATTTTTACGATATTATATCATTATAAATTCTATCACTATATTTCATGTGTTAGGTCTTTGTCTCATTTGTTTTCTATTAGTCATTCTGATTGAGTTAAATATTTTGGTATGGAGTACAATAAGAATATTGTTAATAATTATCTTTCAAAATCAATATAATCCGTTACAGCTCATACTTATATGTGAAGTGGAATAGCAAAATTTTAATATACAATGAATCTAAGAGTATATTACTTACTTGCTGCAAATATTTACAACGCCCAACTCAATTTGAACGGGCCAGCCCTAGCGGGTTTCGGGCTAGCCCTAACGGGCTTCGGTTTAAACGGTCCGGGCCTAAAAAGCCCTGATTTAAACGGGCTGCCAATAAAAAGCCCTAATTAACCATTTTTTTCGGGCTAAACGGCCGGCCCGTTGGGCCAAGGACCGTTTAACATCTCTAATCTAATGTATTCTTCTTCTTTTTTTCTAAATTCAAATCCTAAACTAAAAATATTATTCAATATTTTTAAAAGGCAAATTTTATTTTTTAGTAATTACTTATAGGTTATATTTTACTAATAGTTAAAATTTGTTATATTGATTTTACTTTGTTCAATTATTATTAGAACAGAATTTTATATTGAATGACATACTTTTGTAATTTAATAATGTTAAATAACAAATTATCGAGTTGTACAGTATTTATGTTCTACGTTCCGTGATTTTTTTAATAAAATTTTACATCAAGAAATAATTAACGCTCTGTAATTATAAATAATGATATATAATTGTATAATTATTTTGTTTTTTAATTATATTTATATAAATATATAAAAAAATATTAGATCGCATTAAAATAAAAGGTGGAATTGTATTTTTAAATATTATTAGAATACAAGAGTATAATTAATTAAAAGTAAGTGGTAAACATGTGAGCCCTTTAAAAAGTTAGTTTACGAGGTTTATTGTTATTAGAGATATATGTGTGTAGGAGTAAGAAAAAAAGTTTGAATGATGTGACATGATGGAAAATGTGAAATGAGGTTTAGAGAAGTTTATTGTTAAAGATGCTCTAACAACTAACCATACAATTTTTTCAAAATTAATCATACCAAACAAAAAATAAAATGAAAATATTTTTTACCCAAAACATCCCCTTAAAGATTATAATTGCACCACCACAACTAGTTAGTAAGACAAATGTCTGTTGGAATATCATATATGAGTTATCTCAAATCGGTTACACATAAAAAAATAGGCTTAACTTATAAATTTAGTGGACTATTCCTCGTACCAACAATTAGTTTTGGGATGAAAAGTCACTATGGCTCATCGAAGCTCACCGTCTTATGATGCGTTTCACGTGCGTTATCACAGTCAAGTAATCAACATATACACATATCTTGATTAATGTATAATTTCTATTTACTTTTTAATACTCATTGTTGTTACAAATGTATACAACAATTCTTATAAGAAAAAGTGTGGGGCTCTAAATATGAATTTACTCATAAACGCGTAAATGGAAGGCGCAGGATAAAAAAGGCAGTCGCGGCTAATATCAGCCTAGTTTTGCGTGTACGTCTCTCCCAAATATTTATTTGTTATTCTTTGTGGGTTCCACATCTTAATTTCTTTTTCACTCTCTTTGGTAAACCAAATAAGTTAGTTTATAGCTTATTTGGTTAGCTTATAAGCTTCCTGTATTCAAATAAGTCTCGTTTAGTAGGACGAGCTTATTTAAAAAGCTCGAGCTTATTTGATAAGCTTGTTTAGGTAGCTTTTCAAATAAGCTAGTTGAATTTTTTATTCTAGCTAGCTTATCAGCTAATTTTACCAAACACTTTTATTATATAAGCTAGCTTTTCAGTTATAAGTCATAAGCTATAAGCTTATAGCTCGAAAATTACATATAAGCTATAAGCTAGCTTATCAGCCATTTAACAAAAATAAAATAAAATAAAATAAAATCATAGTGGGGCAAAATTGAATTTGCGTGCACTATATGAGAATATGAGCTAATTGTAAGAAATGGTAGGACCGTAGTGGAAATATCAACAGTTGATGAACATCAAATACAAATTGTTTGTTTTTGTGTATTAATCCTTGATAGTTTTATGTTATATATATATAAATATATGTACATGCACACATACATAATGTAATAAAACAAAATAATATATAATTATGTTGTGAAACGGTTTTAGGCTATGTTTGGTAGACCAACAAGATTGGTTATGACTTATTTAATTAGCTTATAAGCTCCCTATATTTAAATAAGCTTCGTTTGGTAGAACGAACTTATTTAAAAAGCTCGAGTTTATTTGATAAGCTTGTTTTGGTAGCTTTTGAAATAAGCTCATTGAAATTTTTATTTCAACTGGCTTATCAACTAATTTCACCAAACATTTTTATCATATAAGCTAGTTTTTCAGCTATAAGTCATAAGCTATAAGCTATGAGATCGAAAATTACTAAGCTATGTTTGTAGACAAATAAGTTAGCTTATAGTTTATTTGGTTAGCTTATAAGCTCTTTGTATTCAAATAAGCCTCATTTGGTAGGACAAGCTTTTTTAAAAAGTTCAAGCTTATTTGATAAGCTTCCTTAGGTAGCTTTTCAAATAAGGTAGTTGAATTTTTAATTCCAGCTAGCTTATCAGCTAATTTACCGAACACTTATCATATAAACTAGCTTATCAACTATAAGTCATGAGCTATAAACTATAATCTAAAAAATTACTGATAAGTTATAAGCTAGCTTATCAACTAGCAGCTAATTCTACCAAACATAACCTAATAAGTTATAAGCTAACTTATCAGCTGTCAGCTAGTTTTACCAAACATAGTCTAATTGTTAAGTGAATTGACCCGTCATACATTTTAAATCATATATGGATACTATGAAATGTTATATTTTTGTTTATCTTATTTTTTAAAGTATGAATTTGTTTGAATGTATTTGCATTTATTTAAATATATATATATATATATATATATATATATATAT